TTGTAGTCTGTATAATCACATTTATGGATGTTACAGTAACGAGGTAGGCATCGATAGTTCCTCACGCCAATGTGCGCAGGTATAGCTCGACCTTCTCTTAACTGGATTTCGTGCCTGAGTAATATTATTTAATTGAGTGGACTGGTGATTCCTAGGGTCGCTCCTAAAAACGCACACTGAAGAAATTCTAGATAATTATCAATTTTATGTACAAGAAAGGTCCTTTTGAGATAACTAAACTCGGGTTAAAATGTCGCATGTTTTTATTTTATTGTAAGGGTAAATTTGTTTCTGATCAATTAGTTTTCTGTGAGTCTGGGTCTGATTCAAAGGAAAGAATTTGAGCGGAAGTGAAGTCTTCCTTTCAAACGTTTAGATTGCCTTCACGAACTGTGTCTCAACTGTGAGGAAACGGAATAATAACGTTAGTTATTTTCTACTTTCAAATAAAAAAAGATCATAAAATCTAAACACGTTACAAAACTCGTCGATATTGAAAGAAAAATGTCAGGATAAACGAAAGTCCCAAGGCAATAGTCAAGGAATATTATGGAAATACCAGCACACATACTCTATTTGTGGTCACCTGATAGTATGTTTTGATTCTTTTAAATATTTTTTCCTTTATTAATTATTTATATTTGTCTGCAATAGAAATATATAAATATATATGATATACTTAAATACTATATAAAATCTACTATTTAAAATATTAATATATATATAAATATATATAAATATATATATAGTACCAAAATATATAATATATATATATATACTAATATATGATATATATATATATATATATATATATATTAGTTAATAATATAATAATATATATGATGATAGGTATGGGCCGTCCCGAGGTACAGTGTATGCGGCAATGTCTTTCTTTTGAGCGCTTTCTGTAGATTCCTCTTTGATCTCGAAAATTGCTGAATTGTATGTTCCTATATAGAGATATGAGCCTTAAGAAGTTGATATGGGGAAACGGGTGTATCTCGCGCCACACGTAGGTGTACTCTACATGGAGCAGTATATGCTAGTGCCGACGCGATATGCTATGTGTATATATATGTATGTGGAGGCTAGTTGTAATATGAGACGGCTGGTGTGACGTGATCGACATGACTTACCCCGAATTACTACGGCAATGGTCAAACAAGCATGCGATCACAATACTGCGTGTCACATCCAGTACGAGCAACTGACGCCACAAATGTCGAGTATTTCGGATGTTAGTGAATTTTGGGATGTCTGAATCGGGGGAGTTCTAGGTAAGCGAGTTAAGGGAACGTCATGTGTTTGCGCGTTTATGGTATGGTGA